AGCCAACACGAGCTCAACTTTTTAAAAATAGTTGTTACACAGATGATGTTTTGTCAGTTTATTTGTCCGAATGCTCGCCTAGAAGCATCAGCATTTAATTTGCCACGCGCTACACCAATATGACGATCACAAGTGTTTTTTTCGCGTAGCCCAACTTCTTAAACGTCTTAAAGCGAAAAATCCATTTTTTCTTCGGACCAAAGTGAAGCCAAACGGTCATTTTTTGCGGCTTTCTCTTCGAGTGCCGATGTGAGAAGGCATAATTAGCACCACGTCAACCGCAATTTCTTTTTGCACCTTAACAAAGGTGTGCTATTGTTCCATCTGGTCAAATTAAATCCAAAATCTGCTTGTAGTTGCTGTCGGTTCGGAGATTTCAAACATCTAGAGATTGAAGTTATGTAACAAAAATTCCCGCATTGTTTCCCACTTTTTATGCCTCAAATTTTTAGTTTACATCCTCATCCGTTCCAGCGGGGTTTAAACAAGCAGTTGCTGAAAATTAGGCGGTTTTTATCATTTTCCTTACACGGAAAAGCTGCATAAACGCATTGAGAACTGTAAGAAGTTCTTGCTTGGAAGCGCTCTTCTTGTCAACTAGTTTGCTTCAGTTCCTTCTAGTAATATCCATGGCTCAAGAGCGCGAGGGACAAAAAATTTCGGATTGGCCATGACAAATCGATAATTTCTTTCGGTTTATTGTGTGCAACAAAGGGTTTGATGTTATTATTTGTCAGCCGACTAGAATTGTGGCTCATTTTGCCGGACCGCATTTGAAAAACCATTTTTTCCCATTTCAGCACGAATAAATTCAATTACTGGCAAGTTTGCTTGATTGACTTGGAAAAAACCGACTGTATTATAAACGTACCGGTTACATTGCATTTATTTTTAATAAATCACAAGGCGTCTGCTCGTACCTTCTAGAGGTGTGATAAACGGTTATTTTTCTGTAACGTGTTACAACGTTTCAGTTTCAACTTAATAGGTTCCACAAGGAACATGTTACCTTTTAAATTTTTCATTAAAAGAATTTAGTAGAAATAGTGATGACATGTAATGATTTCCTTTATTAAAAACATAATTCTTAACATTGGCCAACTTAAAATACCGGTGAAATCGGCTTAACTACGGTTTCAGGTTACTCGTTTGGAACACTGTTATTTTAGCGGTGACGTTAAATACCGACCATCCCTAGTAGTTGAACGCTTTGAAAATTTCCATCCTTATCGGCAATTTATAGCAATTTGTTGAGATCAAGCCTGCAAATTCGCTATCCTTGTGGGCGCGTATGTTCAAACTAGACGGACCGGCACCTTGCGGTGCATTTTCTATAGTTGCTACCCGGCAAATTAGCCTTGAAAAGCCATCGGAAACCTTACTTGGGGTATGAAATGATGCGATTTTTTGCTTTTTCTAGAAATTTGAGATTATCAGTGCGTAATCGAGGCATGACGATTTTGAGAAGGCCGACCCCGGCCAGCAACAGCTCACTCTTGGACGACGTCACTAGAAGTCGACTCTCGGACGACGTCACGAGAAGATTACTAATCACCCTTTGAATTGCAATCGTGCATTATGTATTTGTGACTGATTATTGCGAGATATTGTAAAACGTTTACTTACGGCTGAATCAGCCGTAATTAGGGAGTATGAGGATTGAAACACTTTTTCCGGCTGAGGAAGTGTTGGATGTTGAGTACAAATAATCAGAATAATCAGTACAAACAGATGATTGGCTGCAGTACCTACAAAGTCCACCATTTTTTTCCTAAATACAGAAAATCGACTAGAAGAGATTTTAGGAAATATTGGAACTATACGGATTTACATATAGGATTTACAGAAATGTTTTGGTTTTTGTATCTTTTTCGCATTTAAGACATTTTTCACGCAATAAATTGTAAAACCCATGGCGCGAAGTGTCCCAACTAGGAAAAAAGTACAAAAAAAAAACAAAAAATGCACCAATGCATCAAATTGTCTGGTATTGAATCAATCAATTTTCCACCATGCTTTGGTTGCACGAAACAAAATTCTGTAAAAACGCTTAATTCCTCATTTAGGGCTTTAAGCCCACGTCCCATGCATCCGTTTATACGATGGTAGTAAGATGATACGAAAGTGTTTCTATTGGTTGGAGATCTGTCAATTCGTCCGCCGCCGGACAAATTGACAGATCTCCAACCAATAGAAACACTTTCGTATCATCTTACTACCATCGTATAAACGGATGCATGAGACACGGGCTTAAGCCTGTAATTTAACAGGACTTAGACCGTTTCCCGTTGATTAAGTATATAACCGCAACGCTTGCATCATCATTGAAATAATAAATAATCACTCGTTGAATTAGAACAGGTTATGATTGGTGAAACAAGGGGGCGATTATGCGATTTGATGAAAAACTGCGGGCGATCGCCCGGTGAAAAACCGCAATTCACAGATTGACGTTTAGGGATCGTTTTTTACATTACACCACCCTACTTCAAGCAAAAAACGCGAAAGAACCGGAAGAATTCAAATTTAAAGCATCAACAACCCTGCGGAAAACCATGCAAACGGTAAATGGAAATATAAAATTAAACAATTTTTTTTGGAAGAATATCAGCTTTGAACGGTGGTTGCTAGGAAGTTCTCAATGTTACTATTTATTGGAAAAATGTAACGGTTGCATTTTTCCATATCGGTTCGCCGAGTTTTTCTTCCAATATCAGTCATTGTTTATTGAACGACCATAGTTAATGCAATAATCGTTCCGATACGGAAAATTAGCTGCATTTATTTATAGCTCTAATGACTTGGAAAAAATGAAAAGTGGAAATAGTTGTTAATTTACTGCTACTTGGTGAGTTATTCAATCGACCGCTAATTATCAATGCATTTTTATTCATCRTTGATATTCAGTTACTTTGWCTGCATTGAATAAATGGAACTAAACTAATAAAACATCGAATAAACAGCGTGAACGAAGTCCTGAAAATTTTAAATACAAGGATGAAAGAAAAAAAATGCTCGGACACGTCAAATTCAGTGYTTAAATGTGCACATTTTGCCATAAAAGTAACAATATAATATATCATCTTCATATGCTTCATACACTGTATAAATGCAAAGCTGAATATAAAAAATTGTTTTTCAAAAACCTTACACTTTCCAGATTAAAAATAAAACCTGTTAATGACTCTACAATATATTCATCATTTTAGAAGCGAATAGACATCAAGACCCCACTGTTCTAATCTGGAATTATCATTTGATAGATTTATTAAAGTGTTTGTTTCAGTTTACACATTAATTAAGCATCAGGTGAGAAAAGATAAAATGTCCAAAATACCCGAGGAATTCTTCCTTATTATTGGCCCAAACACTTTATAAATGCATATTTGTGGCCCTCTCACCTCAAAAGGAGTCGATTGAGCTCAAAAAACACGCATGTAAAATTTTGATTTTTTGCCGAAATTTTTCTAAGGGTGGAGGTCGATTTTTTGAAAAAATTAAAATCTCAAAATGTCTTAAATTTTACATCATTTTCAGCTCACTGACGCGAGGAACCCATCGAAATCATTGGAAAACTTGCTAGAAGTTTCAGATCCGAAATAATAGACATTTTAGGCACATTTCAACGTTTTTTTGGGTATTCATGATCTTTAACCGACGATTTCTCCCTTATTATTGGCCCAAACACTTTATAAATGCATATTTATGATCTTCTGACGTCGGAAGGAATCGATTGCACTCAAAAAACACGCATGTGAAATTTTGATTTTTGGTCAAAATTGTTCCAAGGGTAGGGGTCGTTTTTTTGGAAAAAAGGAAAATTTTGTCATCAGCAAATTTTTTTCGAAAATCAGCCCTGAGCAATCTGGCAACGCATGGAAATATTGAAATACAAATAAATTTTACTTAACATTAAATCATTTTTTCAGTTCTTTTCGGGTTTGGAACTAATTTTCTTACACAAATAATTAAAACGTCGATAAGTGTAGATACCTACTGACTGGTTATTTAATAATCCCGATCCCAAAAACGACACCGTTAATGTATCGGATCAGAACTCAAAATTATATTCAATTTCTCCCGAAAATGTTTTGTCAGCGATTATAAAACGATTCATTTCGCAATCTCACAAAGAGTTGAAAAACAATGTAATAATGAGTCGCTTCGGTTACAAATACTAAGCGTTAAGTCGGTACACAGTTTTCTTAATTTAGAAACTGACGTTTGCTTAGCAAGTTTATCTAGATTAACTCTGAGGCGCAAACTGAACCATTCAGTCTTTAAGGACACGTAATATGTAAGTCCAAAAAATCATTCAASAATTTGTTTTTATCAAAGCATTACTTTATATGGCTAAGTGAGTGAGCCGATTAYAGATTAATGTTSATCSGAAAAGTTCCAAATTGGCTGATAAACAAAAATTCCTCGATTATATTAATAAAAATCACTAAAATATTATCAGAATACAAATATGAGTTTTACCGCTTTGGCAATTAGCTATAAAAGTATATCAACAGCATAGCGAGTGAATTTACTTTGCGGCCGTATAAATTTCCAATGCAACAATGAAAACAAGAACAGCAATCGGGAAAAGCAAAATACACAAACCAGCATCGATAATAAAAGTTGCAGTTTAAGTGCAGGTCAGTTCGGAAGTCGGATTTTCAAAATTAGATTGCTGGTTTATAGACCGAGCTGTAAATTGCTGGTAATTGTTTACTTTTTAAACACTATAAAATCCCACAATCTCTATGCAGTTCTGAATATTTTTAGACCTGGAATGGATTTCGCATCGAGAATGGGTTTTGTTATGATAAAACACAGACGCTACTAAAATATTAATTTTATTGTAGAGGTCAGAAATAGGTTGAGTTTATATGGATGTGATTTATTCATGCTTGCTTAGTGTAAGTTAATTTGTTTGGTACGAAGTGACCGACCACGCAAGTAAAAAAATCTCACTTTGCTACGGCAAATAAAGGATCATTTTTGGACTGTTGGTAAACCTCAGGAGGAAAATGATCGCAAAATACAAAATTGATGTTAGTTTTTCCAGCAGAAAATTAACACAAAGAACCTTAGGTTTTTACTGCCCAACTAAAGGTCCAGTGTGCTTCCAGCAATGAAACAGTGACAAAATGTTCAAAATAAACAATACTAAAGAACAGAAAAACCTGATTTTAAGCGACGCTAAAACGAGCTACAGTAAAAGCCCAAACGCTCAGAATCTTCCATGATCTTCTCGGGGAAATAGCCATATAAGCTCGCGAGTCGAGCTCGGAAAACTATAAAAGTTCCTTATCTACTGCATTGTGCAATTGCGAACAAACGGAATTTTACCCCTGTTCAATGGAAGTTTCTCCAAGCTTTTAATCGTTAATTTGACAAAATATCATCCTAGTTAGTAAAAACTGCGTTGTTAGTCAGTGTGATTTTGCGCAGGAAAAAAAGTGATCGAAACCTTCGAGCACTTTTGCCAATAAGCAATCGTAAATATGAAAATGACCTGTTTTATGCAGAAATGCTATTGTTCTGTTTATGAACAATGCAAATGTGGTTTTTATGGTGTTATACAGTATCATTACTCATAATAGACACGTAGTCTATTCTAGATTCACCTTGATAAATGCTCAAATTGAAGTGCCTACATATTTGTTTTATCAGTTTGACTATTTGCTTTGGATTCACTATCGAGGTGTCGATTGCGACGCAATATTCGCCGTTCATTGTGCAATTTTGAGCACTGACCTACACAAGGTGAAAACGCTGATGTGGAAATTGTTGGCGAAAACGTTATCAATATTACAGGTGCAAAGAAGAAAAAACCAGATGACCCACATCTGCACGAACACTGCAACATGGAGCATTAACTAGGCTGAACTTTATCTCATACATCGTCGCCACATAAATTAAATAACTTGGCAGTGGTATAACTAAGGCCGTTTTTCACATGGACAGTTTGTTTAGCAACTTTAATTGCAACTGGCATTACGGATTTAGCTGCGAATAACACACTCGGGTGGGTTCCCGTCCAAATTTGTGGCGTGATTTCTCATTCCTGCCCAGGAACCAGTTCTGTTAACCGAATAGAACCTGTCAGCCACACCCACATAGATTAAATAGAAAAAGGTCTTGCAGGTACCTGCCTTGAAGAGCCCACCTGTGTCTACCAATCAATAAACCCCAAACATTTAGAGATAGAGGATTTTTTATTCCAAAGAACCTGATGCAGTGAGGTGCCAACGAAAACACTTAAGGCCCGAGGATATTAGTGGGCGATCTTAAGTAGCTTTTTATACAATTTGGGTTATGATTTTGTGTCTGATAGCGTGTTAGATGTTTTTTTGCAAATAAATAATGATAACAGTGTGACTTTGATTTGATAGGATCAATTGTCCGCTTGAGCCGCAAAGGTTGCGTATTTGTATGATTAGTACTTTGAAGCGTGACTGATTGAAGTGCAAACTCTCAACTTCGTTGGATGTTTTGCAGAAAGCGGATAAAGCAAATCACTTTATTCGAATTAAGAAATGAAATGGATGCGACAGGTCTAAACAAGGAACGTCTTCGTCCTGTAATCTATAGAAGCCCACCGAGTGCCCGCCCCTATTCCTTTGTTGCCGCTCGGCTCGCTGCCAAACAAAGAAAAAGTCCCGTTTTCGACAAGTTTTTACTTGCTTCCACTGACACCAATTTGCGAGCCACCGATTTATTGTTTAATGCTGTCGATTGATGAAATCTAGTTGAAATAATGGACCGATCTTTTGATACTCATCCAAGCCGCAATTTGCTCAGCCAAACATATCCATTGCCCTCGCATTTACGCAATTTTCCGCAAATTAACAGGTTTGCCACATTGTATTAATAACTAACTGACTTTGTGAATAATTAGAGCGTTTTATGGAAATTTTACGCCGATGCTTTGTAATTGTCTCAATTTTATTTGTGAGATTGTCAGTCCGATTTCTGGCGATTCATCTTTTTTGAGTGTTTAAAGCCCGTGTCCCATGCATCCGTTTGTACGATGATACGATGGTACGAAAGTGTTTCTATTGGTTGGAGATCTGTCAATTCGTCCGTCGTCGTATGACGTGGACGAATTGACAGATCTCCAACCAATAGAAACACTTTCGTACCATCGTATCATCGTACAAACGGATGCATGGGACACGGGCTTAACTGATATTCCTGATGAAGTGTGAATCTGATATCTACTCAATTCACATTTAGGACCCACAAATGACTAATGGCCGTGTTAATTAGCGATAAAAATGATTAGACACCTTATGGTGCCAGCTGATGAAATCGATCGAGGTGATTCAGCGAAAAATCACCTAATCATTGTCGTTCGTGGTAAAATTGGCAATTTCTGCGAATTCTTCATCGCCATGGTCCAATAAAGTTGCCCGAATTTTCGACCGTTAAAAACGAATCGACTACGAACGCTTTGACCAATATTCCCATATACCAGGCGGACAACCAATATTTCTCGTGTTAATTGGGAACTTTAAAAGCCTTACTCGCCTTATCAGGCGATATAAATTGTTTAATGTTAAATTGACTGTTTGTGTCAATATCTTCCAAATTGTTGACAATGTTGACAGTTCACAGACAGTAATTTTATTGACGTCATATGACGTGCAGCAATAAATTGTTTACATTTAATCAAATTTCGCTTTTTGTACGCAAATGTTCCCTTCAAAAGTGAGTTTGGGAAGCTTTTGCGCGTTGGGTGCTGTAATGAATTAAAAATTATCAGGGAAATAGCGAAATTGGCCAAAAGCCCCAAGCAAACTGTGGCAAAAACGTGCAGCTCAAAAGTCCCCTTTCTCCGATCTCCCACACGGAAAACAAGCCAAAATTGGAAGTTTCTGGCAGGTTTTTTCGTAGAAAACGCCCAAAAATCGCCAAGCTCTAACAAAATGAACGAACATCGCGAAAAATACGTGTTGAAACCTGCACAGACATCACACAACGCCCGCAAGCTCGATCTATGCCACATCGGTTCCGACAAGTCGAAGACGAGGAAAGTGTTGATTCTCGCTGATTAATTAAGCCTGCCGAGTTAACACTAGCTTATCGTTTTAATGACACGACAAACACTTAAATCGCGTCAGTGTGTCTGTCAAAGCCAACAACTGAATAGCCGAAAATTCGGCTCAATATTCCTTTGTTTGCAACCGCGCTCATCCCGCAGACAAAGAAAAGCCGCTTTCCCCATGTCGACTTCCTACATACTCATTCCTTTAGTCTTGCCGCATGTGAAATGCACTTCTTCTCTGAACTAAATTAACCAATCAAATCACGTAGAAGAACAAAGCAGATAATGATTATCTATGTTTTTTGTTTCGCTATAAGCGATCAACACCACAGGTCTGAAATCACGTAGGCACGCACCCGAAAGGGGCCGAAGCCCTGCGCTCGGCTCCTCCAGCCGGTTTGTGTTGTCTGATCGTTTCAGTCCATCTCCCCGCCATATACATGTAGCTGTCTCGCACCACACCAACGGTATTAGTAAAGGACAGAACACAATCCCGACCAATGGGAATCAGGAAATGATCCCGCTGGATGGTGGGGAATAGTGTACAGTATAAAAGGGTGGCACAGCTGATCGAGGAAACAGTCCTGCGAAATCTTTGGCTGAGCGAGAACGTATCAAAGCTGATAAGAGCCGGCAACCGGTTTTTTGGCCTTCAGATTTTCAATTTTTGTGATATTTTTAGTTGTTAAAGTGTAAACATGGAAGTGCTTCCCGTTAGCAACGAAACTTACAACAGTGAGGAAGGTAAGGATCGGTTTTCTGTTAAGAATCACTTCGTTAGCACGAGATTTTAGTGTTTTGGACTTTTTTTTATCTTCAACTTGGCATCGGCCCGGTTTGAATTTACCAGTTTTAAAAAACGGATTTTTTTGTGCCCCAAACATTGTCAAATTTTGACGTTTTTTCAGTCAAATCAACAAGAAATTTGGAGGACTAAAAAGTTTCAACAGCAAAAAATTACTTGGGCGATAAAAAATAAGGGAAATTACCTGAAAAAAATGGTCTTACAGCCTTTGAAAAACTTCCACTTGTATTGTATGAAACCGTGTTCCAACAAGCCCCATCAAATACACCGGTAATTATCAAATTTCAATCTAATTCCATCGCCAATCAACGCAAATTATCGCGAAATCTCGGGAATTAGTGCTAAAGCAACCTCGTTTCCCTGTAATCAGCTGTAGTCAACCGGTCTCGATATTATATGACCCTGCGTGACCTTCTCTGCTTGCGTAGCAACAGCGAACATTCA